GTACCTGTGTCTTTGTGTCTTTGCTTCAGCTCAGGGACCCACTTTAACATCCTCCCCCAACCCCACTGCGTCCCAACTGCTCTCGCCTCTGAATTCCCTTCCCGGGGACTGGGTCCGAGATGGGTGAGACGAGACTTAACGCTGTCAAACCAAGGCGGTGCCTGGCTGCCTGGACAGAGAGCCGTGGCGCTGTCACTAGGAGGCGGCTCTGGTTCAGCCCTCGGCGCGGCGAGACTCCCAAGGCACCACCTCAGCCCTGACAACATTCGTCCACGGGTGACATTCTTTCCCACAGGGACATGGCTTTGGGCTGTACTTGCATGTTTTTTTTTTAATCCTCAACCCAGGATATTTTTCCATTGATTTTTTTTTTTGTGTGGGGGAGAGTGGATGGGAGGAGGGAGAGGGGAGAGAAGGGGGAGAGAGAGAGAGAGAGAGAGAGAGAGAGAGAGAGAGAGAGAGAGAAATATCGATGTGAGAGAGACACACTGATTGGTTGCCTCCCATATGCGCCCAGACTGGGGCCAGGGATCGAGCCTGCAACCGAGGTGAATGCCCTTGACCAGAATCCAACCAGGACCCTTCGGTCCACAGGCCGACACTCTAACCACTGAGCCAAACCGACCAGGGCTGACCTGTATTTTCCGTTTGCACTCAGCCAACCAAAACCATACGCTGCTTCCTGGCAAACGACAAGAAATCTCTAGACGCTTACATTAAAAATAGAAAGTAATACAAATACGATGAAAACAGCCCAGGATAAGGCAGTACTTTCACACCAAAGAACCTTAAAATGAGGTGTGATCTGACTTAACACTGTGTGCTGCTTATTTGTTTATTTCTAAAAGTGATTTTAGTCACTGAGGCAGAAATGTAGATGTCTGGCAAAATCCCCAACAAGAAAAAAAAAAAGTAAATAATCGAAAATAACCTCAGTTAAAATGAGCTACGCAAACCACTGCTCCGAAGAGTTACACTAGGTAACCCTGTTTTGACAAGTCATCCTGCAAGAAAATTCAAAGAAACTGATTAGAGGATCGTTGGAAAATTAATAAAGAAAAACAAAACCAAATAAACAAATGAATAATCATTTGAAAGGAAGACAGGAGTAAGGTCCGGGCCTTGGAAGCGATGTTTTACGTGATCATCTGCCCGCATACCCATCGGGACTGGACTCAGCTGAGATGAGTCTCAGCCTAAATTTCATTTTCTTAATATTTAAAAAAAAAAAAAAGGAGTCATGATTTGTATTCCTACTTTTTTTGTGTGTGTGCCCTTGACTGGAATCGAACCCGGGACCCTCCAGTCCGCAGGCCGATGCTCTATCCACTGAACCAAACCAGCTAGGGCTATTTCTACTTTTTAAAAATCTGATCTCCCCCACCCCCAAGTTTAACTTCTGCAGCGACTGACATTTGAACAGAAACGTATTTCAGGTCGTGCAGTGCTTACAAAACAGGAAGCACGTGTAAACACCTGTGACTGATGTTCTAGAACAGCAGTTGCCAAGCTTTTGGACCTCGAGGACCACTGTTCTAGAAAGCTTAAGTGCTTGACAGATAAAGTCTCCAGCAAAACAGCTTACCTGGCTCCATTCCCATCTATTTCATCTTACAGCTATGAGCCATTTCATCTTAAAAACATACAAATCAAGCCCTGGCCAGTGTGGCTCAGCTGGTTGAGCATCATTCCAGGAACCGAGAGGTAGCTGGTTCGATTCCGGGTCAGGGCACATGCCTGGGATGCGGGCTCCATCCCCAGGAGGGGGCATGCAGGAGGCAGCCAATCCATGATTCTCATCATTGATGCTTCTCTCTCTCTCTCCCTCTTCCTTCCTTTCTGAAATCAATTTAAAAAATACATGTATTTTTAAAAAAAGAGTGGATTACAGCTGAGAGAGAGCTGTGGGGCGCAGACCCGCGGAGGAGTGAGGGGAGCCCAGACCCAGGCCACCGGAGGCGCCTGAAGCCCCCGGCCCCTCTGGCTGCCGCCACCATGACACACAGACCAGCCCCAGGCCAGGCTAACGTGAAACCTGACATTAACGGCCTCGTTACCTCAGTGCCTATTACCTAATACCTCATGTCTGGCTTCAATAAAAAATTACAAGACGTGCTAAAAGGCAAGAAAAAAACAGTCGGATGAGACGAGGCGAGCATCAGACCAGACTTCGATATGACACAGATGTTGGAAGGATCAGACAGGCAATTTCAAAGGACTATGATTACCACGTTAAAACCAAGGGAAACATCAGATGGGTAAATGTGACATCTTGGCCCGGCCGGCGTGGCTCAGTGGTTGAGCGTCAATCTAGGAACCAGGAGGTCGCGGTTCCATTCCCGGTCAAGGGCACATGCCTGGGATGCGGGCTCCATCCCTAGTAGGGGGCGTGCAGGAGGCAGCGATCCATGATTCTCTCTTGTCACTGATGTTCCCCTCTCTCTCCCTCTCCCTTCCTCTCGGAGATGAATAAAAATATATTTAAGAAAAGAAAAAAGGCAGATGGACCTTCATGTCTGGAAAGCCGGCCACACGTCTGCTCAGCTGCCATCATTCTGAGATCCAATCAGCCAGCCCACACTCACCCTGGACCAGCTCAGGGTGCGCTCCACTCCTGTGCAAGGGGGAACTTTGACACCAAGACACATCCCTGTTGATTTTTCTATCTGCCCCAAGTTTTAAAGGTCCATGTAAACCTTATTTATTTAATCCTCATTGGAGGATATTTTCCCATTGATTTTTAGAGAGTGAAAAGCGGGGGGGAGGAGAGAGAGAAACATTGATGTGAGAGAGACACCGCCAATTGGTTGCTTCCCGCATGCGACCCGACCAGGGCCAGGGGTCAAGCCTGCAACCGAGGTACGTGCCCTTGACCGGAATCGAACCCGGGACCCTTCAGTCCGTAGGGGGATGCTCTACCCACTGAGCAAAACCGGCCGGGGCTTATGGGAACGTCTTTTGAACTGCACGTTCTTGCCCTCCAGCATCATTCTGAGGGCTGGGACCCGGGCAGCTCCGGCCACGCCCCCGGCCGGGTCTCTGTGTGCAGACCACACACGTCCACAGGGCCGACGAGAGGCGGCTGGGGGAGATGAGTCTGGAAGGGATTCCTGGTAGCCAGCCCTTGTCGTTCTCCCGCCCACATCTAATGCAATGCTTTACTGAAAACACACACACACACACACACACACACACACACACACAGCACTGCAAACGCACCAGACACTGTTTTCAGTGCATTATAAACATTAACTCATTTAACCCTCCCAGCGAGCCTATAGAAGGACATCAATACCCTCATTTTCAGATGCGGACACAGGCACAGAGCAGCCAGGTCGCCTGCCCGAGGTCACGGCCAACACGTGGGAGAGTCGGCGGCGGGAGCTCACGGGGGCCCAGCTCCAGTCTGTGCTGTGGACCGCGGGGCCAAGTACTTAACGAAAGGGGCTGAGCCGTGTCTGCAGGGCGCACGCCTTCCTGCCGGCGGCCCAGCTCGTGCCACCCAAGTGCCGCCAGTGCAGGAGCTAAAGCGATGACAGACACCCCGAGATTCTGATGAAACAGACACGCTCACTGCTATGCAAGCTGGGCCAGCCACTTCCAGGCTTCTTTTAGTTGAAAAGCAAAAAAAAGCACCCACAGAGAGACAGGTCAGGTACCATGGAAGCCGGCAGCGAATTTCCCGCCTCCGGCAAATCCCTTCTCACCAGTTTCCTACCAGCCTTCACCGCTTTAGCGGGCGGCCTAAGCCGGTGACACTGCGGCCCCATGTCACGTGGGCTCACTCTGCGATGGAGCCAACGTGAGCAGCGACTTGGCAATAAAAAAAAAAAAGTACAAGTGTGGCCCGGCTGGCGTGGCTGAGCGTTGACCTATGAACCAGGAAGTTATGGTTCGATTCCCAGTCGGGTCACATGCCAGGGTTGTGGGCTCGATCCCCAGTAGGGGGCGTGCAGGAGGCGGCCGATCAGCGATTCTCTCTCGTCAATGATGTTTCTTTTTTTCTTTCCTTTTTCTATGTATATATATATTTTTATTGATTTCAGGGAGGAAGGGAGAGGGAGGGATAGAAACATCAATGATGAGAGAGAATCATGGATCCGCTGCCTCCTGCACGCCCCCTACTGGGGATCGAGCCCATAACCCGGCATGTGCCCTGACTGGAAATCGAACCTGGACCCTTCAGTCCGCAGGCAGACGCTCTATCCATTGAGCCAAACCGGCCAGGGCTCATCATTGATGTTTCTCTCTCTCTCTCTCTCTCTCTCTCTCTCTCTCTCTGTCTCCCTTCCTGAGATCAGTAAGATTAAAAAAATAAACAAAAAAAGCCAGGAGCCTTGAGCAGGTTGGGAATCTAAGTCCCAACTTGCCCTGGTCCCTCCCCCTGAAGCCCACGGCAGCCCTGAGAAACGACGCTTCCAACCCGTAGGAGCCGCCTTGTTCTAGCAAAGATCTTCGTTAATGACAAGAGCCCTCCCGTCCTGTCCACTTCTCCTTTGCTTCTCACACCCTGACTGTATTTCCTATTGCTTCTCGGGGCTCACCTGAGTTTCTATGCGACCTTGTGATATCGAGCTTTCTTTCTATTGCGGACGAATGAGGTCTGACTTTACCGAACAGGGCTAAGAGGCCCCATGAATGTCTGGTTATTATTATTTGTTGAGAAACACCTTACAGCCCTGGCCGATGTGGCTCAGTGGATAGAGCGTCGGCCTGCGGACCAAAGGGTTCCGGGTTCGATTCTAGTCAAGGGCACGTACCTCGGTGGCAGGCTCTTCCCCGGCCCGGGCCCTGGTCGGGGCGTGTGCAGGAGGCAACCCATCGATGTGTGTCTCTCACATCGATGTTTCTCTCTGTCTCTCCCCTTCTCTTTTACTCTCCCTAAGAAATCAATGGGAAAACATCCTCGGGTGAGGATCAACACCACCACCGCCTGCGATTCCTCGGAAGATGCAGCGCACTTTTACAAACGCGAGAGTAGGAACCGTCGGGTTACGTACGTGTGACTTCCTGCAAGAAATCCAAACACGGCCGCCCGCTGCCGGAAATGCTGAGCGAAACCGCCAGCGGGGTCTGCCCTTCGTAGTTCCTCGTGTTCGTGTCCGCCCCGTAACTGTACAACATCCGCGCGCAGAGCACGTCGTCGCGGAGGGCGGACAGGTGCAGGGGCGTCTGGCCGTCCTCCAGGCGGCCCAGGTTCGTGTCGGCCCCGCGCTGCAGGAACATGCGGCAGTACGAGTGGTTGCTCTTGATGACGGCGTAGCGCAGCAGGAAGCCGTTCTGGATGTCGATGTTGGCGCTGTGGTCCAGCAGGATCTTCACGCAGCTCGAGCGCTCCCGGATGATGGCCAGCTGCAGCGGCGTCGTGCCCTTGTCACTGAGCGGGTCCACCTCGGCCTTGAACTCTAGCAGGAGGCGGACGAACGAGTCCCGGCCGTAGTGGGCAGCCACGTGCAGGGGAGTCCAGCCGTCGTTGCTCTTGGCGTTGATGATGTCGCTCCGGTACTCGGACTCCAGCATCAGGCGCGCGATGCGGGCCCGGCCGTGCATGGCGGCGTAGTGCAGCGCCGTGAAGCCGCCGATTAAGTCCTTGACCGTGGGGTCAGCTGCGGTGGAAACCAGAACGGACACATCAGCAGGCGCCCGGACAAAACAACGAGCCCTCCCCACAGCAGAGCCCGCGGGCGCCAATTCTCACAGGGGATGCGGGAGGATCAGACATCGCAGCCACCGGCAAGCAGCACGTCTTTCCTCGGTTTAACTGAAGTCAAGGGTTTTTAAAAAATATATGGTTTTATTGATCGCAGAGAGGAAGGGAGAGGGAGAGAGAGAGAGAGTCATCAATGATGGGAGAGAATAATTGGTCGCCTGCCTCCTGCACGCCCCCTGTTGGGGATCGAGCCCGCAACTAGGGCATGCACCCTGACCGGGAATCGAACCGTGACCTCCTGGGTCACAGCTTGACGCTCAACCACTGAGCTGCACCAGCTGCGCTGAAGTCAAGTTTTGATGAAAAATGAAGTTTGGTAGAAAGTGATCAACCCTGGTTAAAGAAGTTTTTAAAAGATATATATGCGCCCAGCTGGTGTGGCTCAGTGGTTGAGCACTGACCTATGAACCAGGAGGCCACAGTTTGATTCCTGGTCAGGGCACATGTCCAGATTGCGGGCTTGATCCCAGGAGGGGGCATGCAGGAGGCAGCCGATCCATGATTCTCTCTCATCATTGGTATTTCTTTCTTTAAAGATTTTATCTATTTATTTTGTTATTATTATTATTTTTTGCTAATCCTCACTCGAGGATATTTTTTCCATTGATTTTTAGACAGAGTGGAAGGGACGGGGAGAGACAGAGAGAGAAAGAGAAACATCAATGTGAGAGAGATACTGAGACACATCGATTGGCTGCCTCCGGAATAGAGCCTGCAACCAAAGGTTATGTGCCCTGGATCGGAATTGAATCCGGAACCCTTCAGTCCACAGGCTGACGCTCTATCCACTGAGCCAAACCGGCCAGGGCTCATCCCTGTCCATTTCTATTTCTCTCTCTGAAATCAATAAAAAGATTTTTTTTTTTTAAAAAAAGATATATACAAAAAACACAGAGCTGAGACCACCATGTCCGTTTGCTAACTGAACCCACTGCTTCTGGCTGCTCCAGCTCCCCCATCTCTGAATTGTTTTCATGCTTCTCTTCGCCTTTAACTTTCTGTTTTATTTTCTCTTGTGCTTCTTGGTCTTAAAGAGAAGCATGTGTAGCAACATCTGCGGCTCTAAATTACGGATGTACTGTGGTCTGGCAGACGGCGCTGTTTTAAGGGTGTATTAAGTGGGGGGAAAAAAACAAAGTTGTTTTTTTTTTTTCCCTGTGGTCTGTAAAAATTCCAAAGCATGTTAGATATATGTTAAGTGATCTGGACAAATCAGGTTCTCGTAAGATAAACGTCTACTCTGAACGCTTGGTTTTACGAGAACTTTGGAGTCTGTAAAGAATTAAACGGCGCGCCGTGTGAAAATCGGGAAGCAACTTTAGCGCCGTGTAAATATTATTTTGTACAGTTCCAAAGCTCTCTCCGAAATGGAATGATTTCTGCGGGCAGGGTGGAAGAGAGAAAGAAAGAAAAAGAAACGCCAGTGATGTATCTGCAGTGTCACTCCTCAGTCACAAACGCTGTCACCTGGCCCAGCGGCTCCTTGAGCCAAAGGGAAGTTCTCTGTAGCTCTCATCCCACGGGCATTCCTGGCACCGTCTCCCTGAGAACGTAGGCCACTTCCTGGAGGCCCGCAATTCCTCGTGAAGATAAACTGGTCAGACCTAACTACCTGGGATTCAAATGCTTTCTCCTTGCCCTGGCCGGTGCTGCTCAGTGGTTAGAGCTCCGGCCCTAGGACCGAAGGGTCTCGGGTTCAATTCCGGTCAAGGGCACGTACAGGTCCTCCAGCCCCGGTAAGGGCATGTGCAGGAGGCAACCAATCGATGTTTCTCTCTCACATCGATGCTTCTCTCTCCCTCCCTCTAGGAATTAATGGAAAAAATATCCGGGGGTGAGGATTTAAAAAAAACACACAAAGGCTTTATTCTCATAAAAGTCACCCTTAATGTCTGGTTTGGCCACGAAAGAGAAAAATTCATGAGTGCTTTTTCAAACAACGAAACAGAAAGCCTCCAAAGTTGTGTGAGCAGACATTTGTGTATTGTCTAGCAAAATGTTATTTCCTGCTAAAACGTGACAGCTGGGTCTCTGGGGAAGTTCTATGAAGCAGAAAGCTCCATGGAAAAGAATGATATTACGGAGAATGAAAGTTTCAGTTAAGAAGTAGTTGCTCACAGAACCTGTAAAAAGTTAAGACTCTTATTAAGTAAAGTATACCAGTTAAATTTCTAAAATCATTAAATACAAACGAACAGTGCACAACAGTAATAGAGTATCCTGCCTCTGTTGGTCTTCGCTAAAAGAAAAATAGATAGCAACTCTGTATTATGCGACTTAAAAATATGCCCTGACCGGTTTGGCTCAGTGGACAGAGCGTCGGCCTGAGGACTGAAGGGTCCCGGGTTCGATTCCGGTCAAGGGCATGTACCTTGGTTGCGGGCACATCCCCAGTAGGGGCCGTGCAGGAGGCAGCTGATCAATATTTCTATCTCATCAATGTTTCTAACCCTCTCCCTTCCTCTCTGTAAAAAATCAATAAAATATATATTTAAAAAAATAAAATAAAATAAATGAGGGCGAGCGTTTTTTTAACAAAGCGTCTTGCTGCCACCTGCTGGTCATGCCAGGAACGTCAGCTATGACCTGCCCACTGATAGGATGCTGAGCCCTCCATCCTGCTTCCCACGCCTCCCTTCCCTAAAGCGGCGAAGTGGAGACAGGCGTGAAGGAGAAAAGAGCCCCTTCGATCCAAATGAAACCGTCACTGTGGCCAAGGCGCCGTTTCTAATCGCTACCTGACCAAGCAACAGCTGCCTGCTCGGTTAGTGAGACGTTAGGAATACCTTCCATCTCTCCCACCTTTCGTCCACTCTTACGAGCATCCTAGACTTGCTGATTCGACAGTAAAATGAAAAGCATGTTATGTGAGACTGCACTTGGGGCTTTGGTTTTCCACTCTGGGCCTTTGCCAGGTTTTACTTACGTTTTGGTGTGAACGCGGAGCTGGGAGAAACCGTGATTAACACACAGAGCAGGGATCTGCTTAGCCTCAGTAAAAACCGTAAAAATATACTGGCTGTGCACACGCGGAAAGCAGCACAGAATATAGAGCTTTAAGTAACAATGCATGAACTTTGCATAGTTACTCTCCTTGAGGAATTAACAAAAGGAAGATCTAGACAGATGAAGATGCAAACAAACAAAATCGAGTTTAAGGATTACTGTTAGCCAGTGCAGTAAGAAAGAGATCTCATTTGTAATAGTAACAGAAACGATAAAAACACCTAGAGCCCCAGATGGTGTGGCTCAGTGGATAAAGCATCAGCCTGCGGACTGAAGGGTCTCGGGTTCGATTCCAGTCAAGGGCACATGCCTGGGTTTCGGGCTCCATCCCCAGTAGGGGGGCGTGCAGGAGGCAGCTGATCAATGATGTTTCTCTCTCTCTCTCCCTCTCCCTTCCTCTCTGAAATCAATAAAAACATATCAAAAAAATAAAGAAAGAAAAACACCTCGATATAAATTCAGTAAGAAATGTGCAAGGCACGTACAAAGACAACTTTTACGGAAATTGAGCTCACTTTGTCCCATAGTCTCAAGACACCTTGAAATCTAATGAAAAATTTGGAAGTACATATAAATAAAAGCAGATAAACATTCCCTATCAATATGGTGTGTTTTTTTTCCCCCCAACAACTTTACCGGGGTTGCAAGAAAGCTTCCCAATCTTAAGTGTACAAGTCGATGAACTTGGACAAACTGTATACAGTCACGTTGTAACCGCCACCATAATCCAAATATTCCCATCATCCCAAAAAGTTCCTTCCTGCCTCTTCACTGTCAATTCTCTGCCCAGACTCTGGGCCCCAGGCAGCTACGGAGGTTCTGGCCTTCTTCGAATTTCATAGAAATGAAACCATAGGCTACGGAGAGTTTGTGTCTGACTTATTTCACTTAGCAGGATGCTTCTGGAATTCACCCGTGTTGTTGTTGTGTCCAAATGTTCATTCCTTTACATCGTTGAGTAGTTTTCTACAATATGGATCTTCAATTACTTATCTACTAGAGGCCCAGTGCATGAAATACGTGTGGGGGAGGGGCGGGGGAAGGGGGGCGTCCCTCAGCCCGGCCTGTGCCCTCTCCCAATCCGGGACCGCTCACTCCTAACCGCTCGCCTGCCTGCTTGCTGGCTCCTAACCACTCACCTGCCTGCCTGCTCGCTCCTAACCGCTTGCCTGCCTGTTTGCTGGCTCCTAACCACTTGCCTGCCTGCCTGCCTTCTCGCTCCTAACCACTCACCTGCCTGTTTGCTGGCTCCTAACCGCTCGCCTGCCTGCCTGCCTGCTTGCTCCTAACCACTCGCCTGCCTGCTTGCTTGCTCCTAACCGCCTGCCTGCCTGCCTGCTTGCTCCTAACCACTCGCCTGCCTGTTTGCTGGCTCCTAACCGCTCGCCTGCCTGCCTGCCTGCTTGCTCCTAACCACTCGCCTGCCTGCTTGCTTGCTCCTAACCGCCTGCCTGCCTGCCTGCTCGCTCCTAACCACTCGCCTGCCTGCCCAGTGCGTGTCATAGCGACAGGTCGTCCCAGTCATTCTGCTGTGACGGTCGCTTAGGCTTCTATATATATAGATTATTCACCAGCAGGTGGACAGTGGGCTATTTCCAGTATTGAGGCTATTATGAATACGGCTCCTGTGAACATGCATGTACAAGTCTACACGGGGCTGTATGTTTCCATCTCACTTGGGTACATACCTAGAACTGTTGGCCTGTATGTTATATGTACATGTGAGAAACTGCCAAACTGGTTTTTAGTGGCTCCACAATATTACATTCCCTCCAGCAATACAGGGTGGGGCGGATGTAGATTTACAGGAGTAGTGAGTATGAGAAACAGAGTTTATTCCTTTTTTATTTTATTTTTTTGAAGAATTTGGCTGGGGCTTCCATTATCCTTTCTCTCACACCTAGCAGCCTGGGCCAGCCAGCAATCTTTGTTTTATTGTATTTACTTATTTTTGTTTTATTGATTTCAGAGAGGATGGGAGAGGGCGAGACAGAAACACCAATGATGAGAGAGAATCATGGATCTGCTGCCTCCTGCATGCCCCCTACTGGGGATGGAGCCCACAGCCCGGGCATGTGCCCTGACCGGGAATTGAACCGTGACCTCCTGGCTCATAGGTCCATGCTCAAACCACTGGACCATGCTGGCCGGGCCAGAATTTATTCTGATATTATCATTTATTAATGTATTACTTTCCATACGAACAACTGTAAACCTTCTTTTGCCCCAGCCTGTAGAGGTGTTCAAGTTGGTCTTCACTAATACTTGGCATCGTAGCAGTTTTAGTTTCTTCCACCCTAGAGAGTGTAAAGTCGTCACTTATAGGAACTTAATTTACACGTCCCTGGTGGCGTGGTGATGCTGAGCTTATGCAAGTGCTGTGTGTTGTGAAGTGTCTGTTGAAACCATTTGATTATTGCTGTGGGGTTGTTCTTCTCACCGAGTTTACAACTCTGCTGTGTATACATTCTGGATACGAGCCCTTTCTTAGATACGGTTTGTAAATATTTCTCCTAGTCTGTCAGGCCATTTCATTTCCTAGACAGTGTCGTTTAAAGAAGAAAAATGTTTAGTTTTGATGAGGTCAAGTATATTTTTCCTCTTAAGGTTTTCGCTTTTTGTTAAGAAATCTTTGCCCAGCGCGACGTCACGTAGGTTTTCTGTCTTCTTCTAGAAGGTTTATGTTGTTAACTCTTATGTTTAGAGCAATGATCCACTGCTCGTTGCTTTTTATGTCCAGTGCGAGGTCAGATCAAGGTTCATTACTTCCCACACAGGTCTCAGGTTGTTCCAGCAAAACGTGCTGAAAAGTCTAGCTTTTCCCCAGTGATTTTTGTCAAAATCAGTTTCTCAAAAAAAATCAGTCTACCAGACAAGTGTGGGCCTATTTCTTTTCTTCTTTGATAACCCTCACCCGAGGAGTGAGGATATTTTTTCTAAGGAGGTGGGAGTGGGAGAGACAGAAAGAGAGCAGAGAGAAACATCTATGCGAGAGAGGCACATGGATGGATTGACTTCTGCATGTGCCCCAACCAGGGGTGGGGATGGAACCTGCAACCCAGGTAGGTGCCCTTGACTGGGAATCAAGCCTGCGACCCTCAGGTGGGGAGGCCGATGCTCTAACCACTGAGCCATGCCGGCCAGGGCAAGTGTGGGCCTGTTTCTGAACTCTATTCTGTTCCATTGATCTGAAAGTTTATCCATATTGTCCTGACCACTGTGGCTTTCTAGAAAGTTCTGACAGCAGGGAGTGTATGTCCTCAACCTTCTCTGAAACCGTTTGGGCCAACAAATCAACTTGTCCATTTTTTCAAACAAGCCTGCTGGAATTTTGACTGTCACTCCACCAACTCTATAGGTTCCTCAGACTAGATGTTCACTGATCAATTTTCAAGGTCACTGATTCCATCTTCTGTCGGCTCAAATCTGCTATTAACCACTCTAGTAAATTCTTCATTATAGATAATGTGCTTTTCAACTCAAAATTCATATTTGGGGATATATATGTTTACATATACATATATGATATATAACCTCCTATATAATAAAGAGCTAATGTGCTAATTAGACCAAACAGCAAAATAACCGTCTGGACGAAGCTGGGGCTGCGAGGGCCAAGCCCCTGGCATGAATTTTGTGCACCGGGCCTCTAGTGTATATTATATCTATAATAATAAAAAAGTAATACACTAATTAGATTGGATGTCTTCCAGATGTCATTCTGGATGTCTATCCTGATGAAGCCAGGGCCGGAGGGAAGCCAGCCCGGGCCCCAGGTGCCTGCTGCTGGCCGGGGGAAGGAAGCCTGGGTCCTGGGTGCCGGAGGGAAGCCGGTGCCGGCAGCTGGGGGAAGGAAGGCCTACTCTTGCACGAATTTTTGTGCATCGGCCCTCTAGTATACATATAACAAATTCTATCTGTTCTTGATAGTCTGTATTTGATGCGTTAGTGCCGCCATATATTTCTTTTATGTTTTGACCACCATTTCCTTAATTCTTTGAACACATTCATAAATAGCTGCTCTGAAATTTGTTCTTCTTCAAGGTGCAGGGTCCTGCCCTCGCAATATCAAAGATCACTGATTAGCCCGACCAGTGTAGCTCAGTGGTCAAGCATCGACTTATGAACCAGTGACCTTTTAAAAAAATATATACATATTTTTAAATTGATTTCAGAGAGGAAGGGAGAGGGAGAAAAGGATAGAAAAATCAAAGATGAGCCCAGCCAGCATGGCTCAATGGTTGAGCGTCGACCTAGGAACCAGGTGGTCATGATTCAATTCCCAGTCAGGGCACATGCCCAGGTTGTGGGCTCGATCCCCAGTAGGTGGCCGATCAATGAGTCTCTCTCATCATTGATGTTTCTATCTCTCCCCCTCTCTGAAATCAATAAAAATATAAAATAAAATGTTTCACTCATATAAAAACAAACAAAAACCCAACACCATAAAAGCATCCAAAAGAAATCTCAAGGAGGTAAATTCAAAACATAGGTAGCATTAGGCATTATGACAGTCCTCCACTCTACTGACGGAGCTATCGAAGGCCCTGCT